ATTTTGGCACCAGGGATCAAACTCAGGACCTTGTGCTTGCTAGGCAGGTGGCAGAACCAGTGAGCTAAGTCCCTGGCCCAAGACCTTTTATACCTTAACTGGCTGGTGACACATGCTGCCCCCAACCCCGTCTAGTGAGAGGCACTGTTAAAAGCCAGTACTTCTTGGTTGCACTGATGCGGGTTGCGGGGGGATCACAAATGCCTGATGGCTTCTCCTGATTTCCTCTGCATGACTTCCAGCTGAAAACCATGCGACAGGAAGATTACATGAAAACCATATCTGACCTTGAGCTGCATTACCAAGAGTTCATCAGAAACAGTCAAGGCTCCGAGATGTTTGGTGACGATGACAAGCGGAGAATGCAGTCTCAGTTCACGGATGCGCAGAAGCATTACCAGACCCTGGTCATTCAGCTGCCTGGCCACCCACAGCACCAGACAGGTCGGCCGGGGTGTCTGTGTCTGTGTCTCCACCACCTATGGGATCTTAGAAAGTCGTTTGTAGATAAAAGGAGTTGCAGGACTATTTCTTTGAAAATTATTGGTTTCATCTCTTTCATGTTGCTATTAAAAAATACCTGTACTTGGATAATTTGTAAAGAAAAAGGGCTAATTTAGCTAATCACTGTGGAGGCTGCTAAGTCCAAAAGGCATTGCCTGTGGGACCCTTGACTGCATCACAGCATGGCAGAGAAGCAGAAAAAGGTGGCTGTGTGCAGAAAGGCGGAGTTCTCTGTAGAGCAGTCATCCTCTTGAGAATTAGCCTGGTGTCTAGAGACTGAGTCCTCTTGCAAGTGTGGGGCTGTGCTCTCAGAGCCCTGCCCCATGATCGAATCCTCTCCTGCTAGGGTCCCCCACCTACGTAGGAGACTGACCTAGAGCCTGAATCTCTGGGGATAAACCCTATCCAAGCCACAGCAGCTGTATATTGAGTCAGGAAGTGGGTGTACTTTTTAAGCAGTTCGGATGCTTTCTGAGGCCTCGCACCCGACTAGTGAGAAACTCTCTGATTTTTGTGGTGTTTATTTTTGCAGTAACCAAAACGGAAATCACTCATGTAGGCTCCTGCCAAGACGCCAACCATAATAAAATGATTGAAACCAACAGAGAAAATGACAAGCAAGAGACGTGGCTGCTGATGGAGCTCCAGAAGGTTCGCAGGCAGATCGAGCACTGTGAGGGCAGGATGACCCTCAAGAACCTCCTGCTGACGGACCAGCCGTCCACACACCACATCACGGTGAAAATCAATGAGCTCAAGGTAGTACCCATCCGCATTGTGCTGGATCACATGTGTAATGTAGAGTTCTCTGAAAACGGGTAATCTCCTGGTTTACATGTTTATAGGCAAGTACATAAAAGAAACAACTAAATCACTAGAATAGATAAAGAGCTCAGAAACACATCCCCAAGTACATGGTCAAGGGATGTTTTACAAATGCTGGTAATTTGTTTGACAGGTCTGTCTTGTCCATGAACAAGTGTATACAGAGGCAAAATAATAATTCACTGTTCACACCTTACAATAAAGACTCTCCCAGGGTAACAGGGGTCATGAGAATCACGCAGCTCCAGTCAAAGTGCCAATCATGGTATGGACACAGGTCATCAGAACTGTGGTTTATACACACCGTGGAACACAATGGGATATCACCCAGGCTTTAAAAAGAAGGAAACTTCTGGAAACTGCAACAGTATGAATGAATCTGGAGGACATTAAACTGCACACAGAAAGATAAGCATTGTGTAATCTCAATTATATGTGGAATCTAAAAAAAAAAGTCAAACTCACAGAAATCCAAAGTAGAACAGTGGTTACCAGAGATGGGACCAGGGAGGAAGTAGGGAAATGTAGGTCAGGAAAGAACAAACTTGTAGTTTTCTTTGATAAGGTTTGACATCTAATATATAGCAGCAGGACTATATATAATAATATTGAATATTTTGAAAATTCACTGAGAGGGTACATTTTAGGTGCTTTTACATGCACAGAAAAACACAAAAGTAACTGGGAGGTGATGAATGTATTAATTTGTTTACCTGGAGTAATCATTTCACTTATGTATATCAAAGCAGCATATTGCGTACTATAAGTACATATGGTAAAAATAATCGAAAGAGCTTTCCTTCTTTTTTTGACAGAGTGTACAGAATGATTCACAGGCACTTGCTGAAGTGCTCAACCAGCTTAAAGACGTGCTGGCTAACTTCAGAGGTTCTGAAAAATACTGCTACTTGCAGAATGAGCTATTTGGACTGTTTCAGAAACTGGAAAATATCAATGGAGTTACAGATGGCTACTTAAACAGGTAAGCACAGCTAATGCCAATCAGAGGTATTTTGCTTTTCCCAAGCCTCATTCTGGCCAGATTGCATTTGCCATATGTGTTTGGCTTATTAGAGTGTTGCCTTGTGAAATCTTTTTTTTTTTTTCTTCTTCACTAGATTTATTTACATTCTTCTTGGGTTGGTGAGAGTGTCCTCAGGTCTAGGGCATTAATTCTACTGCTCCGAAATCTTAGAGCTACTCTCGTGTGTCTTAGAACTACAAGTAACGTGTACCCCAGGGCCATGATTGAGCAAAAAAAATTATTGTTCCCACATCTTATAAAATAAGCAAAATATATTTTATCTGCTTTGACGTCATTCTTTTTCATGAATGGTGCCAAAAGCCACAAGTTCACCTTGCAATTGAGTCCCCAGCAATTTTGTCTGCTTCTTTTGGTCTTTCCAGCTTGTGCCCGGTGAGATCACTCCTCCAGGCCATCCTGCAGACAGAGGACATGCTGAAGGTCTACGAAGCCAGGCTCACCGAGGAGGAGACTGTTTGCCTGGACCTGGATAAGGTGGAAGCTTACCGCTGCGGACTGAAGGTAACTCGAGCAGGTGTGACAGAAATTACAATAGCACTTGGCTTCCGGTTACAGAACCTCACGAAATTTTCCTGAGTGGGCCTTTTTGTTTTTTGTTGTTGTTGGTAACTTTTTGAAAAGACAATTTGTTTTTAGACCAGACAGAGATATACAGAAATTGACACGATGGCACAGAGTCCGTATACCCTGCACCTAGTTTCTTCTGTTACTCACATCTTCCATCTGTGTGGTGGGTTTGTTACAGTTAATGAGGCAGCGTTGATGTAGCCCGCATTGTACTTCACTGAGATTTCCCACCGGGTTTGCTGAGTTTTGACGTGGTCGACACTTGTCATCTCTGAAACTGTTTTCCAGTGTGCTGGGCATGAGAAAGTATTTTTGGTACGATTACTTTGGAAGATGCTTGAACAGCTTGCTTCCTATGGGATGCCTTAGAAACTCTAATATGTTTATAGGCATTAGAGTTATTCAGGAATGTTATGTGACATTCAGCATGTGTTCCTCAATCTAATCGACACATTCAATCCTTTTTTAACTGGGTGTCACAGGGAATTAGATCACTGGAACAAATACTGAAAAATTGAAATTCAGTAAGTATATCTTTCTGGGTTATCACTAAGAACATGAGTGTTCTAAAGAGTTTTATAAACATTTTCTCTTCAATATGAGGATTGGACCCAAGGCCTTGTGCATACTAAGTATGTGCTCTACCACTGAACTACATCCCTGAACCCTCAATTTTTTGGGTTTTTTTTTGTACCAGGGATTGAACTCGGAAACTTGCACTTGTGAGGCAGGTGGCAGAACCACTGAGCTAAATCCCTGGCCCCCGAACCTCCAATTTTTTAAAATTTAGTAGTGGGAGAAGAGAATAATTTGTGCTACGTTTCTCTCTCTCTCTCTCTCTCTCTCTCTCTCTCTCTCTCTCTCTCTCTCTCTTTCTTTCTGACTCTCACAGAAAATAAAAAATGACTTGAATTTGAAGAAGTCGCTGCTGGCCACCATGAAGGCAGAACTGCAGAAAGCCCAACAGATCCACTGTCAGACTTCACAGCAGTATCCGCTTTATGACCTGGACCTGGGCAAGTTCAACGACAAAGTCATCCAGCTGACAGACCGCTGGCAGAAAATAGACAAACAGATAGATTACAGGTGAGTAAGCTCCTTCTCCACTCTTTTCCCATTGGGTGGTTCAAGGGGATCATGAAGTAGTCACTGTTAAGAAACAAGGATTTTGACCAGCGGAAGTGGTCACTACAGATAAACATCATTTTCTGTGGAAGTTAAGGCTAACTGTGCGACTTTCTTGGACTGCCCGGGGCAGCTCTGTGATGGGATGGCTTTATCCCAGTAGCCTGCTAGGGCCTTAGAGAAACAGTGGAAGCCATTTAATCTGCCCTGTAAGTTTTGTTATGACTGTTGGAAGAGGCTGCTTTGAGTGTGTGTTCTCCAGAACTTTGGGAAAATTAAACCTTATGCAAAAGAAATGCCTTAGTGTAACTGAAGCCAAGTCACTGGGGCAAGGAGAAAGATTTATTTGCAAACCAAACATGGTGGATGGGCCTTTTCCTCAAAGCACCACCTTAGGGAACTCAGGTGCTGAGGGTGTTTATAAGGAGGGGAAGGAGGGTCAGGGAGAGAACACAGAATGCTGTGTGCTGAGTAGGCTCTTGTCCTCTGGGGTCTATGCTTTCCTTTCTCCTACCAGACTGTCCTGCAGATGGAACCTTCTCACAAATAGATCTTCCAGGCCAGTTCTTGTACTTCCGAGATAAATACATTTTTTCCCTGAAGGTTAAACATTATTCCACCTTTAATGAAACAGTAAGATTTCTAAATCCTTGGCCCACACCTAGATGTTATCTGAAGACCGTCAGCTTTCCTGGGTTCTGTAATACCAAGGAAAAGTTACTGATTAGTAAGTTTTATGGCCGGTGTCTTATTAGTTCCTTTTCCCAGGAGAAGCTAAGAGCAGTATTATAACTGTAGATACAAAGGCCTCTTTCCCCAGAGACCTCGCAGGAAATGGGGAAAAGGCAGGAGTTTTAACCTCTTTGAAGGCTTCAGTCAGAGGCGTCACAGTGCCTGCAAAATGAGCGACCCTTAAAGTCAGCTACAAACAAGCAAAGCCAGAGAGTTTATTGAGGGTTTCCCTATATCACGTGACTACAAATAAAAATGAAAAAGTCCTGAATTGTCTCACTTCTAGTCCATTTTGCTAGTAGTGCTTGTAAAAAATATCTTTATGGAGGTATAATAGACATATCACAGAGTTTACCCATTTATACAATTTAGTAGATTTTAATGTGTTCAGAGTTGTGCAACCGTCACTACAACACGAGTGCTTTTTTTCTTGTTTTGTTTTTTTGTATGGTGTGGGGGATGGAATGCAGGGCTGTGGGTGTAGGCTGTGCCACGGAGCCGTGCCCAGCCCTGCAATTTGAGCTTTGAACATTTTCCTCACCCCAAAATGAAATCTCCCCTCCCCAGTGATAGCCCTTGTGTTACCTCCCGACTGCTCAGCTCTTAGCGATCACCATTTACTGCCTGTCTTTCTGTGCATTTACCTATTCTGGCATTCCGTATAAATGGAACCCCGGCACGGTGTGGCATTTGGGGACTGGCCTACTTCGCGCAGCATGATGCTCCCAAGGCTCATCCAGCTTGTGTCCTGTTTTGGCACTTCATTTCTTTTTCTTTCTCTGGCTTGATAGTGTTCAGTTGTTTGACCGTGCCACATTTCCACATAAGCTTTTCATTAGTTGATGGCTGCTTGGATGATTTCCGATTTTTAGATCTGATGGAACATGCTCTGTGTACATAATGTCCAGGAGTTTGTGTGGGTGCACATTTTCAGTCCTCGGGGGTAAACCCCGAGCAGAGTTGCTGGGTATCTCAGTATGCTACCTGTTTTGGGAACCAGTGATACTGTTTCAGTAATTTTATTATATCTCTTTTCCCTAGACTGTGGGACCTGGAGAAACAAATTAAGCAACTGAGAAATTATCGCGATAATTATCAGAATTTCTGCAAGTGGCTGTATGATGCCAAGCGCCGCCAGGATTCCTTAGAATCCATGAAGTTTGGAGATTCCAACACAGTTATGCGGTTTTTGACTGAGCAGAAGGTATAAGCCAACTCGTCATTCCACTGCTGTTTTGAGATGAGTTGGTTGTAAACACTGGTCTTCAAAGCTACGGTGCCTTTGTTTGAAATAATGAATGTTTCATGTTATAATTCTGCTTTGTGAATGCCCCAGGAAAAGCAACCGAGATACATAAAAAGAAATGCAGTGTGAACATAGAAAGAATGTAATGATGTTCATTTCGTTATAGTAAAGTATATTTACAAACTGAGGTGACAGGGCCAACAAATGGGGCTGACTGGTGTAACCTCTGTTAGCTAAATGATAAGTTGGAGAGTTTTCTTCTCTTTCCTGCATGGCAAAAAAAATGCTCTTCTCTTAACCTGTAACTGAAAATATGAGTTCAGTACAAAAAGAAGAAAAGAAAGAAAGAAAAAAAAAACCCCCAAGGTAAAAGAGAGAAATAGCATTTATTTAAAAAAATCTATGTACTTTAAGATTTGTAAATATCTCATTCTTTGTATAGAATTTGCATAATGAAATATCTGGCAAACGAGACAAATCAGAAGAAGTGCAGAAGATTGCTGAACTCTGTGCAAATTCAATTAAGGTGTGTTGGGTTCATTAAGAATGATGTGTTTCATTCCAAATATTAACTGTATTTGCTGACTTGCTTTAAATATTATCAACTCCTTGAGAGTGGTGATTATGGCTTTTATATATTCCCTCCTGAACACCATAAAAGTCTGTTATCCATTAATGAATTCACAATACATTGGCAATATCCAGGGAATGGGATAGTCTGGTGTTTGATGCAAACTTCTCCAATTAACTTGTGAAGATGTATGTGCTTGGTTTAATAACATATTAGTTGCTTAGAGACTGTGGAACTCTCCGGTCTCTGTTGGTTATTAGAAATACTTTGACTCATTTTAAGTCCATTAGGAGTTTTTTCTAAGGGCTGAAAATGTAGCTTAGTGGTAGAGTGCTTGCTTACTATATGCACAGTTCTGGGTTTGACCCCCAGCATAGGAAAAGAAAATATTTTTCTCAAACTCCACTCTGCAGGACTACGAACTCCAGCTGGCATCATACACCTCTGGGTTGGAAACTCTGCTAAATATACCTATCAAGAGAACCATGGTCCAGTCCCCATCTGGGGTGATACTGCAAGAGGTACAATATGTCATTATGTGTGTCTTGCTCTCTGCCTTCCTTCCGCTTCTTCCCTGCTTCCTACCTGAGTCCCTACCATCTGAGTTCATCCCTGTTTTAGTATCCATTCAAAAAAGGTCGGTAGCAGATAACACTCTTGCCATTGTAGGCCTCAGAATTTTTTGGAAACGATCACTAGCATTCTTAGTATTTCATTTGTAGACTGGAGTCTTCACAGAAATTAGACTTCCATTTCTGGGTTTGGTGAGGGACACTTCTAAAAAGTCGTAGTTAAATAGTAGATTTCTGAAAGACAGCTTTTCCCAAAAGATTTCAAAGAATATCAACAGTCAGATGGTGTAGGGAAAGAACCTGGGTGGTAAAGATGGAATATAGATGTTTTTGTTGCTTTGATTTGCTATACTTCTAGATTTTGGAACAAACAAATGTGAAAGAAAGTGAATTTACTTTTTTTTTTTTTTTTTTGGTTTTTTGAGAAAGGGTCTCACTGTGTAGTTGAGATTGTCCTGGAACTATGTAGCCCAGGCTGGTCTCGAACTCATGGCGATCCTCCTGCCTCAGCCTCCTGAGTGCTGGGATTACAGGCATATGCCACCACACCTGGCTTGAATTTACTCTTTAAATTATAATGTCACTATTTCACTGTTTTAGAAAAAACATGAAACATTTTAGAAGTTATTTTCAGGGGGGTGGAGGGAAGGGGGAAAAAAGGATGGAAATGTGTTATGTATGTGTACCAATCCCCTACAATGAATATGATCATTATTTACTGCAAACATTCACTAATAAAAGTTAAAAATATATTAAAAATGAAAATATTATTTTCCTTTTCTCAAAGGCTGCAGATATGCATGCTCGGTACATAGAACTGCTTACAAGGTCTGGAGACTATTATAGATTCTTAAGTGAGATGCTGAAGAGTTTGGAAGATCTGAAGGTAATTTATTTACTTCATTTCCTTAGAGTGTCAAAGAAAATAGAGCCTTATTATTGCCTCATTATGACATAGATTTGGAAACTTACTGATAAAACTGCATTTCCTGTAAATATTTAATGTTACATAGTTTGTTTGTAAGTCTGGAGTTAGTTCTGTGCTCCATTATACTGCTCTAAGTGGGTCTAAGTAATATTTGCAAAATTGCTGCCACTTTGCCAAACACTGTAATTTCATTCACTGTTTGGTTAAGGAATTTCCTTTACGTCTTTATGTAAAATTTTGGTTAAGTGGGGTGGAGATATGGTTCAGTGGCACATTACCTGCCTGGCAAGTGTGAGGCCCTGAGTTCAATTCCTGGTAGCAAAAAAGACCAGAAAAAAATTTTTGGATAAGCACATCCTGGACTAGCTGGATTTGAATCTTTCATGTGAAATGATTATTTACTATTCTTTTCTAATGCTGGAATTGATTTCATGTGGAAACTTTATACCTTGAAATAAAAGGAAGGTCATGTATGAAATCATAAGTTTTTCATTTTGAAAAAATTACTTCATTTTATAGATGAGAAAGCTGAGATTTAAAATGATCAGTCACTAAGATCATACGAGTAGCTGGTCGAAGAATTATGATGAGAATCTAGATTTCTTGAATTTGTGTCTAGTAGTTTTTGCTTCATTTCACTGTGTGTGTGTGTTTGTGTGTGTGAGCATACACGTGTGTGCATGGGTGCATGTATATGTGAGTGTACAAAGAAAAAGAAAAATGTATGTCATTCTGGGAGAGGAAAGTACTATTTGTTTCTCACGGTGTGGGGTGCTACTCTTTCAACATAATTTCTGATTTCATGTCCACAGCTGAAAAATACCAAGATTGAAGTTTTGGAAGAGGAGCTCAGACTGGCTCGAGATGCCAACTCAGAAAACTGCAACAAGAACAAATTCCTGGATCAGAACCTGCAGAAATACCAGGCAGAATGTTCCCAGTTCAAAGCGAAGCTGTCGAGCTTGGAGGAGCTGAAGAGACAAGCGGAACTGGATGGAAAGTCTGCAAAGCAAAATCTAGACAAGTGCTATGCCCAAATCAAAGAGCTCAACGAGAAGATCACCAGATTGACTTATGAGATCGAAGATGAAAAAAGAAGAAGAAAGTCCGTGGAAGACAGATTTGACCAGCAGAAGAGTGACTATGATCAACTGCAGAAAGCCAGGCAGTGTGAAAAGGAGAGCCTTGGTTGGCAGAAACTAGAATCAGAGAAAGCCGTCAAGGAGAAGGAGTACGAGATAGAAAGGCTGAAGGTTCTGCTGCAGGAGGAGGGCGCCCGGAAGAGAGAATATGAAAATGAGCTGGCAAAGGTAAGAAACCACTATAATGAGGAGATGAGTAATTTAAGGAACAAGTATGAAACAGAGATTAACATTACGAAGACCACCATCAAGGAGATATCCATGCAGAAAGAGGATGATTCCAAAAGTCTTAGAAACCAGCTGGATAGACTGTCAAGGGAGAACCGAGATTTGAAAGATGAGATTGTGAGGCTCAATGACAGCATCTTGCAGGCCACCGAGCAGCGAAGGCGTGCTGAGGAAAACGCCCTTCAGCAAAAAGCCTGTGGCTCTGAGATCATGCAAAAGAAGCAGCACCTGGAGATTGAACTGAAGCAGGTTATCCAGCAGCGATCGGAGGACAATGCAAGACACAAGCACTCCCTGGAGGAGGCTGCGAAGACCATTCAGGACAAAAATAAGGAGATCGAAAGACTCAAGGCTGAGTTTCAGGAGGAGGCCAAGCGGCGCTGGGAGTATGAGAATGAACTGAGTAAGGTAAGAAACAGTTACGATGAGGAGATCATTAGCTTAAGAAACCAGTTTGAGACGGAGATCAACATCACCAAGACCACCATCCACCAGCTCACGATGCAGAAGGAGGAGGACACGAGCGGCTACCGAGCTCAGATCGACAATCTCACCAGAGAAAACAGGAGCTTGTGCGAAGAGATCAAGAGGCTGAAGAACACTCTAGCCCAGACCACCGAGAATCTCAAGAGGGTTGAAGAAAACATCCAGCAGCAAAAGGCCACAGGCTCGGAGATGTCGCAGAGGAAGCAGCAGTTGGAGATCGAGCTGAGACAGGTCACCCAGATGCGCACAGAAGAGAGCACGCGGTACAAGCAGTCCCTTGACGACGCTGCCAAGACCATCCAGGATAAAAACAGGGAGATAGAAAGGTTAAAGCAACTGGTAGAAAAGGAAACAAGTGAACGGAAATGCCTGGAAGATGAAAACGCGAGACTGGAAAGGGTCCAGTATGACCTGCAGAAGGCCAACAGCAGCGCGACCGAGGCCATAAGCAAACTGAAGAGTCAGGAGCAGGAGCTGACACGCCTGAGGATTGACTATGAAAGGGTTTCCCAGGAGAGGACCGTGAAGGATCAGGACATCGCCCGCTTCCAGAGCTCCCTAAAGGAGCTGCAGCTGCAGAAGCAGAAAGTGGAAGAGGAGCTGAGCCGGCTGAAGAGGACGGCCTGTGAAGACTCTTCTAAGAGGAAGAAGCTGGAGGAGGAGCTGGACTGCATGAGGAGGTCTTTGAAAGAGCAGGCCATCAAGATCACCAGCCTGACCCAGCAGCTGGAGCAGGTGTCCATTGTGAAGAAGAAGAGCGAGGATGACCTCCGGCAGCAGAGGGACGTGCTGGACGGCCACCTGCGGGACAAGCAGAGGACCCAGGAGGACCTGAGGAGGCTCTCCTCAGAGGTTGAGGTCCTCAGGCGGCAGCTGCTCCAGGAGCAAGAAAACGTCAAACAGGCTCACTTGAGGAATGAGCATTTCCAGAAGGCCATAGAAGATAAAAGCAGAAGCCTCAACGAAAGCAAAATAGAAATCGAGAGGCTGCAGTCTCTCACGGAGAACCTGACCAAGGAGCACCTGATGCTGGAGGAAGAGCTACGGAACCTGAGGCTGGAATATGATGACCTGCGGAGGGGCCGAAGTGAGGAGGAGAACGATAAAAGCGCAACCATCTGTGAACTAAGGAACCAGCTGCAGATCAGCAACAACCGAACCCTGGAACTGCAGGGCCTGATTAATGACTTACAGAGAGAGAGGGAAAATTTGAGACAGGAAATTGAGAAATTCCAAAAGCAGGCTTTAGAGGTATTCACAAATATTTGATCCCAGCTCCACTGTTTCTCCGATAATTCACTGCATTTTCATGTACTCTGAGCTGTTCTCTTGCTACTTACAAGTCTGCTTAACTACCACTGTCAGAATCCAGATAACTGCTTTAAAATAGCTGCAGTGCTGTTTGCCCTCGTGTCCTGTTCCTGAGCTAGGTACCCGTCTGTGTGGGGCCCGCGTTTAGCTCTGCATGTGTATAATTTCTGAGCTCACTTCTCTGAGTGTTCCACTCTCCTTGCTAGAAGCTACCTCTTGGCTCAGGGCGGGGCTCAGTGGGAGAGCAGAGAATTCAATAAGGAAATAAAATTTGAAATAAAATAGAAGGCCACTCTTAGTGCGCTGGGAGGCCCATTTGATGGGTCAGAACTGTACTCTTTCTTTCTTTAGTACATGTTTGTACTGATGTTCAGTGCGTAATGTTTACATTCCTCACAGAGAATTGATACATGTACATAATAGGATGTGCATTTTTAATTCAAATTTTCCTCAACGAAAATCATATCAAAGCATTTATCTGTGTGATTTTAAGATCATCTTTTTTCTTGCTCACGATTTTTCTGCATGCATCATTCTGTTCTTTTGGCCATGCTCCTTATCTTTTTCTTTGTGCTTTCTTTTAATCTCTAGTTTATGAATAACTTCTTTTAACTTCTAATACATGTGACCAATATTTGTGTGGGGCCGGGTGGGGTGTATGCATATATCCATGTATTTGTTTTACTTTATTAAGTATTAGTATAGCTGTAACAGGTGAGATGTAGATGTAGCAGGGCTAATAACCTTGAACAAAACTCCAGTCTTTTCAAACTATAATAATTGCTAAGAGTAAGACAGGTCTACAGCTTCTAGTTTCTTCTGTGGAAAAAAGTATGATGCCGTTTATTGAAGTGGCGATATATATTTACAGAATTTTTTCCATGGATTTGTACAATACTGAGCTATCAGGATGGCCGGGGAAAATACAGAAAGGAAAACAAGTTTTGTTTTGTTTTGTTTTTTTAAAGATACAGGAAAGGAGGTTAAATTATGATAGTCATATGCTCTGATCAAAACATTTTTTCCCATTTTTTTCTTCTGCAATTGCAGGCATCTAATAGGATCCACGAGTCAAAGAGTCAGTGCACTCAGGTGGTGCAGGAGAGAGAGAGCCTTCTGGTGAAGATCAAGGTCCTGGAGCAGGACAAGGTCCGTCTGCAGAGGCTGGAGGAGGAGCTGAATCGCCTGAAAGCCACCCTGGAGGCAGAAGGGAGGGTGAAGCAGAGACTGGAGAGTGAGAAGCAGCAGATCCAGAATGACCTGAATCAGTGGAAGACCCAATATTCCCGCAAGGAGGAGGCCATTAGGAAGATAGAGTCAGACAGAGAAAAGAGCGAGAGAGAGAAGAACAGCCTCCGCAGTGAGATCGAAAGACTCCAGGCCGAGATCAAGAGGATTGAAGAGAGGTGCCGGCGCAAGCTGGAAGACTCCAGCAGGGAGACTCAGTCCCAGCTGGAAACAGAGCGCTCCCGGCTTCAGAGGGAGTTCGACAAACTCAAGCAGCGCCCATATGGGTCTCATCGGGAGACGCAGACCGAGTATGAATGGACTGTTGACTCCTCCAAGCTGGTGTTTGATGGGCTGAGGAAGAAGGTGACAGCAATGCAGCTCTATGAGTGCCAGCTGATTGACAAGACGACTTTGGACAAACTGCTGAAGGGGAAGAAGTCGGTGGAAGAGGTTGCTGCTGAAATCCAGCCTTTCCTTCGGGGTGCAGGAGCAATCGCTGGAGCATCTGCGTCTCCTAAGGAAAAATACTCTTTGGTAGAGGCCAAGAGAAAGAAGTTCATCACTCCAGAATCCACAGTCATGCTTCTGGAGGCCCAGGCGGCAACTGGTGGGATCATTGACCCCCACCGGAACGAGAAGCTGACTGTGGACAATGCCATAGCCAGGGACCTCATCGACTTCGATGACCGCCAGCAGATCTACACGGCAGAAAAAGCCATCACTGGCTTTGATGATCCGTTTTCGGGCAAGACAGTATCTGTCTCAGAAGCCATTAAGAAGAATTTGATTGATAGAGAAACTGGAATGCGCCTGCTAGAAGCCCAGCTTGCCTCGGGGGGTATAGTAGACCCCGTGAACAGTGTCTTTTTGCCAAAGGATGTCGCCTTGGCCCGTGGGCTGATCGACAGAGATTTGTACCGATCCCTGAATGATCCCCGAGACAGTCAGAAGAACTTTGTGGATCCATTCACCAAAAAGAAGGTCAGTTATGTGCAGCTGAGGGAGCGGTGCAGGATCGAGCCCCACACTGGTCTGCTCTTGCTGTCGGTCCAGAAGAGAAGCATGTCTTTCCAGGGAATCCGACAGCCAGTGACCGTCACAGAACTAGTGGATTCTGGCATATTGAGACCATCCACTGTAAACGAACTGGAATCAGGTCAGATTTCTTACGACGAGGTTGGCGAGAGAATTAAGGACTTTCTCCAGGGTTCGAGTTGCATAGCCGGCATCTACAATGAGACCACAAAACAGAAGCTTGGCATTTATGAAGCCATGAAAATTGGTTTAGTTCGTCCCGGTACTGCCCTGGAGTTGCTGGAAGCCCAGGCAGCCACTGGCTTTATAGTGGATCCTGTGAGCAACTTGAGATTGCCTGTGGAGGAAGCCTATAAGAGAGGTCTGGTGGGCATTGAGTTCAAAGAGAAGCTCTTGTCTGCCGAACGCGCCGTCACTGGTTATAATGATCCTGAAACTGGGAACATCATCTCTTTGTTCCAAGCCATGAACAAGGAGCTCATCGAAAAAGGCCATGGCATTCGCTTGTTGGAAGCTCAGATTGCCACAGGTGGGATCATCGATCCCAAGGAGAGTCATCGCTTACCAGTCAACATAGCGTACAAGAGAGGCTATTTTAACGAGGAGCTCAGTGAGATTCTCACAGATCCAAGTGATGACACCAAAGGGTTTTTTGATCCCAACACGGAAGAAAATCTTACCTATCTGCAACTGAAAGAAAGATGCATTAAGGATGAGGAAACAGGGCTCTGCCTTCTGCCCCTAAAAGAAAAGAAGAAGCAGGTGCAGACATCACAGAAGAATACCCTCAGGAAACGTAGAGTGGTCATAGTGGACCCGGAAACCAATAAGGAGATGTCTGTTCAGGAGGCCTACAAGAAGGGCCTCATCGATTATGAAACCTTCAAGGAACTGTGTGAGCAGGAATGCGAGTGGGAAGAAATAACTATCACAGGGTCAGATGGCTCCACCCGAGTGGTCCTGGTAGACAGGAAGACGGGCAGTCAGTATGACATCCAAGATGCCATTGATAAGGGCCTTGTTGACAAGAAGTTCTTTGAGCAGTACCGATCTGGCAGCCTTAGCCTCACCCAGTTTGCTGACATGATCTCCTTGAAAAACGGTGTTGGCGGTAGCATCAGCATGGGCAGTGGTGTCAGTGATGATGTTTTTAGCAGCTCCCGACATGAATCAGTAAGTAAGATTTCCACCATCTCTAGTGTCAGGAATCTAACCATCAGGAGCAGTTCTCTGTCCGACCCCCTGGAAGAATCGAGCCCCATTGCAGCCATCTTTGACACTGAAAACCTGGAGAAAATCTCCGTCTCTGAAGCTATAGATCGGGGCATTGTCGATAGCATCACTGGGCAGAGGCTTCTGGAGGCTCAGGCCTGCACAGGCGGCATCATCCACCCCACCACTGGGCAGAAGCTATCGCTTCAGGATGCGGTGGCCCAGGGTCTCATCGACACAGACATGGCCACCAGGCTGAAGCCTGCTCAGAAAGCCTTCATTGGCTTCGAAGGTGTGAAAGGAAAGAAGAAGATGTCGGCAGCAGAAGCAGTGAAGGAAAAGTGGCTCCCGTACGAGGCAGGTCAGCGCTTCCTGGAGTTCCAGTTCCTCACCGGTGGTCTCGTTGATCCGGAAGTGCACGGAAGGATAAGCACGGAAGAAGCCATCCGAAAAGGCTTCATCGATGGCCGAGCAGCTCAGAGGCTGCAAGACACCAGCAGCTATGCCAAAATCCTCACCTGCCCCAAGACCAAGTTAAAGATATCCTACAAGGATGCCATGAATCGTTCCATGGTGGAGGATGTCACTGGGCTGCGCCTCCTGGAAGCTGCCTCGGTGTCTTCCAAGGGCCTACCTAGTCCTTACAACATGTCCTCGGCCCCCGGCTCCCGCTCTGGCTCCCGCTCAGGCTCCCGCTCCGGCTCCCGCTCGGGCTCTCGCAGCGGGTCCCGGAGAGGAAGCTTCGATGCCACAGGGAATTCTTCCTACTCATACTCCTACACGTTTAGCAGTAGCTCTATTGGCCACTAGTAGTCAGGTGGTTGGTATACCTTGGATTCATTTACATGAGTGTCTAGTTTAAAAATGCCTGCACTGCAGCAAGTAGAATTTTTCTGTGCTTAAAACATAGCCATGGTTAGACTAGAAGAGTAAAGGTTTTCTGGCATTTTATCTTTTTAGCTTTGTAGTCCTCTTTGATGTAGTTATATGAAGTGATAATCACTTGTAAGGATAGCACAAATTGAACTTAGAATTTGTTTTTTGTCTTCTGTGTGTAGTAGATTTTTTTTTTTTTTTTTCTTTTTTGGGGGGCCTATAAGACAGATTTCTATCTTGGAGATGTCTATCCTAGAGATAAAAATTAAATCAATCTGCTATTTCAGTCATTCTGTTTTCATCTAATATTTCCATTTTCTGCATTAGGAGAAAATTATCCATACACCTGATTTTTTTTTTTTTGCTTTTTTGGGGGGCCTATAAGACAGATTTCTATCTTGGAGATGTCTATCCTAGAGATAAAAATTAAATCAATCTGCTATTTCAGTCATTCTGTTTTCATCTAATATTTCCATTTTCTGCATTAGGAGAAAATTATCCATACACCTGCCAAAAAACACTGCCCCAAACCCAAGTAATTCAGTCTTTGTTAGGTGGAAAAAGCATGAATTGTATAACCCATATATTCTTTAATGCAGTTGTTTGGTCTGGTATTAATTTGACTATATGTGCATGATAGCAGTAGTCTTTGCTTTTCTTTGGTCAAAGTTTTCTGCTTATTTTGCTTGTCATTTTCTGTGTACTTTAAAGGTGTCTTTATGAAGTTTGTTCTGGCAATAAACTTTTAGACTTTGGACAGTTTTGTGTTTTGATTTAGTATGTTTATACACGCAAGTGCACTTAGCAACTTTTTCTTTATCATACATCTAAAACTATTTGTTTCTAAATATTCCAGTACCCCAAAAAGCCATTAAGATACTATTGAGGCCGGGGATTTAGCTCAGTGGCACCGCACCTGCCTCGCAAGCACAAGGTTGGGAGTTTGATCCTTAGACACCTGTGGAAATAGGCCATTCCAGAGGTCAAAACTCTGTTCTCACTGATTCTGGAGTGTACCAGAAAGCACTGGCAAAGGTCATTATCATAACACTGAAAAATCATTAGGTGGTTAAGATTTTTCTTTTTTCTTTTCTTTTTTTTTCTTTTTTTTTTTTTTTTTTTGTTAATTTTTTTTTTTTTTTTTTGTGGTACTGGGGATTGAGCTCAGGTCCTTGCGTTTGCGAGGCAGGCCACCGAACCACTGAACTAAATCCCTGGCCCCAAGATTTTTCTTTTTTTGATATTCTCAAACTAGGTAGTGTTTCCCCCAAGAGGAAAGAATTGTTCTTGCATCTACGAACATGATCCTTGAAGAGTTCTTGGCTCTGTGTTGAAGAACAATAAAATACAAGCTTGTTCCTTTAGATCAACAGGAAACTACTGAAATTCAGTCATTAATATGACTAGGGGATACCTTTAGGACAGGTATTGGGCTAGGTATTTGAAAGAGTCAGAATTTACCAGCTTTCTGACTGCAAGGTGTTTGCGGTCTGGGTGGGGATAGGAGACATAAAGCAACCAGTGGGATAACAGTATTTATCAATAGACATAAACCTTATAGTACAGGTACAAAATTAGAAGATAAGTGAAATAGACATAGAATTAGAAATACCAGATACCAAAAGGATTAGATACCAAAGTTACCAGGAACTTGAATGGGTCACAACTCACAACACATTTCTTATGTCACCTCTTTTCTCCCTTTTGTTCCATCTCCCAATTTTTTTTGGAGCTGAAATTAATTGCATTCATTAAGTCATTGAGTTGTGTATGCCATGCCTTGTGCCAGAAGCCATGGATTAAAAAAAAAAAAAAAAAGCCATAGATTCCCTGCTAGAAATAGCAGTGTATAAAAATATCCTGTGTAATCTTTTTTGCCCTCCTGGGGATTGTACTCAGGACCTTGTGCTTGCCAGGCAGGCACAGTGCCACTGAGCTGTATCACCAACACCTATCCTGTTTAATGTAGAAGGAAAGAAAAACATGCTGTAGGTGCGAAGTGGGAAGCGGGGGTGGAGGTAATAGAATTCCTACGCTAGAGCTGGGAGACTGTCTCAGTCACCTCAGGTGCCATAGCAAGATTCCACGGGCTGTGTGGCTTAAAGAAATTTTCCCAACAGTTGTGGAGGCTGGAAGTCCAAGGTTATGGCACTGTTAGGTTGATTTCTGGTGAGACCTCTCCTCTGGGTCTCCGTATGGCCACCTCTTTAATGCGTGCTTACGTGGCTTTTTCTCTAAGTGGAAAGGAGAAGGACAGTTCTGATCTCTGGTAAAAACATCTGTTTTAGGGGCCAGGGATTTAGCTCAGTGGTTCCACTAACTGCGTCACAAGCACAAGGACTGGAGTTTGATCCCCAGTACAAAAAATCTTTTATTAGGTTAAGGCTCCTCCTTTATGACCTCATTCAGCATTAACCTTAAAGGTCCATCTTCAAATGCATGCACATTGTGGGTTAGGATTCCAACACAGGAACTTTGGAGGGATCCAAGTCAGTCTAGAACAAGGGTCTAACCTAGAACAGGTTTAGAGACCTCTCCAGGTAAGTGATTAAACAGATCAGTAGCACCAATTTGTAGCAGTCCCCCAGGTTAAAACAGGAACTAGAAAGGAGTACATATTTTTCTTACCCTCTCTCAGCTGCTGTCCAAGTTGTCCCTAACCTCTGAGATAAGATGGGGCTGTGGCCTGAAGAAAGGACATACTTGACTTGAGCTGAGTTTTATTTCACATATATAGTGCATCCATAGAAGAAAATAATACATGTAGCTTTCGACCAGAGTTATCAGGAGTATCCAAAAATTGGTTTCACATTTTCCAGATGACATGACTGACTATGGAAATGCCAATAGAAAGTAAAGATACAGCAGGTAGACCACAGACAAATTACTGTGGAAGTCATTCCTTGCCCTGCAGCTGCTGGCCCATTTCTGTATCTTCTGGTGCTGCCTATCAACAATGTTTCTCAAAGGCCAGAACTATGCTACTTGCCTTTGGAAATAATTATTCACAATAATGTCCTCCATCCGTCTGTTGCCATGGATAAACAAAATGCAAAGGGAAGCACAGATTTGATCTTACAATAAAAATACAGTAGATCCTGGGAATGAAAACTATTTGGGAAAATTTAGAAGAGCTGTTCCTGGTCTTGAGAGGGATCTAGAACAACATAAGCATGGACAAAGCAAATCAGTGAAAGACCTGTGGGGATGTATCAGAGACACCCAGGGGGTGGCTTCATGTGGCTTCTATTGGCCAAATTGACAACTTGAGTTTTAACAAGAGTGATGATGATAACAGAACATGTACCCTTAGAAACCTTAATTTTTGAACTCCTTGATTCCACGGTGCAATAATGTGTGGAAAGAAAGCCCGTTAATGTAGAAAGCATCGTACTGTAAGACAGTCACATTTATAACTTGTAATGATTCAGTGAAGGATTTATGAGGTAGTTGGGAATCATGATATTCTTATGATTTCAAGATATGTCAAGATGTGCCCACAAACTACCAGTTACCAAGAGGAAAATATTACAATGAGCTTTAGCCACCAACCTTACCAAGTGATCAAATTTAGCTTTACTAAGGCAATAAGATACAATTCTCTTTAGCATGTAATAAAAGACACACATCTTCCCTGTAATCGCAAGGACCTGAATTTGATCCCCGGTACAAAAAAAAACAAAAAAAAAAAACAAAAACAAAAAAAAACAAAACCCGACACACATCTGCTATGTAGTATTCTTGCAAAATTGTTTAAACCAATCAAACAGAATGAAGGACAGTCTGCAAGACAACTGGCCTAAACTCATCACAAAATTCAGTAACAAAGTGGAGAGTAGGGGAGACTGTTCTAGATTAAAACAGACAACCAATTATTTTATGGGTTAAAAATAACTGATAAAAGGATAAAAATAACTGATGGGTGAAAACTGGGAAAATTGAAACCGTATATTAGATTTAATGGATTTAATTTTCTTACGTTTGATCATGCATTACAGTTGCACAGGAAAAGTTTCTAAAGATATATTTTGGGGCAAAGAATCTGCAACTTATCCGCGAAGAACTCAGTAAAAAATTCAGTTTTGGGGAGAGAAGAGACAGAGAAATCAGATGTGGCAAAATGTTAATGAGCTGGAGGACAGCGATACGAACGATCCTTGAACTATTTAAAATTTCCTATCGACATAATTTTTTTTTTTTTAATGTCGCCCGGGAGGAGAATCCTTTTCAGGGAAGACCTGGGTAAAAGCACCCAGGAACAGCTGCTAGGAAGAGAGGTTCGGAAGACACTAGAAAACACCTTCCAAAATGACAGCTTCCGCTCTCCCCGGGGTCCTTCCCTATTGGCTGATCCAGTCACGTGACAACAATACCACGCCCACACCTCCCAGAGGCCCTAGCGCTCCGCCGACAGTGCGGCCGCTTCCTGCAGGTAGGTAGCGGCAATGGAGGACGAACCGCCGCCGGTGGAGGAGCGGCGGCGGCTGCAGGAGGAGCTGAGCGAGTTCGTGGAGAGCTGCTACCGGACGCTGGGGGAGGTGACGGCGTCCCTGGGCTGGAGTCTGGATCAGCTGGATCCCGGGGAGGAGGACGCGGCCGAGGTGAGGGTTGCGGATCTTCCGGGGCTGTGGTCGGGTGGCGGGGAGATCCGTGCCCCGGAACCCGGGTGACCTGGAGTGCCGGGCTGGGGATCTCGCGGGCGCCCGGACGCCCTACCGTGTGGCGTGAACTTGGGGTGTCAGGAAAATAGGGAGATGTGGGTGAGGGAGGTGTTTATTTAAAATATAAGCGAATGGGCGTCAAGAGCTGCGCTCAGAGGGTTGGCAATTTGCTTTGTCATCTGTCGTAAGCATTCCGCAGTCACGCCAGGTTCGGTGTCCGGAGAACTGGGAGTTCACCAGTTCACCTCTTTCTACCCTAAAACTGGACACTTATGGCTGGGCCAGCATAGACTCTGGGATTAAAAGATGCCACTATGAAACGGTAACTAGCAGTTCACTTGAACGGTAGAATTATGTAAACAAAATATAAACAAGTATACTGGAAGGAACAACCCTGATTTTTGTTTTGTCTTTGCTTTTTGTGGGTTAGGATGAAGAGGAGTGCGCCGTTGTGGGATAATTTCATATGTTCTTTCTGAGTGTACTACGCTGTAATAATCTCTCCTGGGTTTAAGTCACATGTCTGATTTCCACAGAGGCGTTTAAAATGTTTCATTCACTATTGTGTTAAAACCACAGTGGATCACCGCCTGCCTCACAAGCACAAGGATCCGAGTTCGATCCCTGGTACAAACAAAACAAAACACAGTGGAAATTAAAACAAAAAATGACTTCATTGTTCTTGTACAGGGGTATTTTTAGCCATTCAGGGAGGACTGACAGAGCTTTCATACCGTTGTTTACTCAGTGCAGTACTGCAGCAGAACTAGATTCTTTGTATTTACATTTAAGGGGCACTTTGTATATGCATTTACTATATGTTACCTCACTTAATACTCATAATAATCCTATGAGGTGAATACTGTTGTGTACATTTTGCAGAGTAGGAAACAGAGAGGTGCTAATTTGTATATGAACACACTGTTACTAAATGGCAGGTAGCATTTGAACCCAGGCTCTCTGGCTCCTAAGAGTGTGTACTTAATTGCTGTGCTGCTTTTCTAAAGATCCTTGTAAAATTAACAAACTTTAAACAAAGCTTTTGTACATAGGGGAGGGGGCGTGAGGGGTGGAATGGTATAAAATAAATTTTATTTTTAAAAATTCCCAAATTTTGACGTAAGCTGAGGGAATACATCTGACTTTGGCGAATCTTGTATCTGATATTAGAAATCCTGGTTAGTGACATAATTCCTAGTATAGATGGCAATCTATTATGTTAATGGAGTTAATGAATCTCCACTTTCTTCGATGTTTTGACACTGAAGTTCATTGAACCATAGTGACTGTTTCTGTCCTTGTAGAGTTTATTGTTTGGTGCTGCTTTTGTCCCCAGATTAGATAATCTGGATTTTTAAAAATAAGGACAATGGGGAGACAGAGAAATATTTTAAGCCATACTTACCTTTTAATAAAAATAATATCTGCTTAAATTTATTGAACACTTGGTATGTTCCAGGCCCTATTCAAATTGCTTTATGTATATGAACTCATGCATTGTTTACTCAGTCTTTGTCATGTCTTTGTGAGGTATTTCCATTTTATAGATGAAGAAACTGAGGCAAAGAGCGATTAAGTACCTGGGCCAGTTTCATACAGCTTGGGATTCCACCTAGCCACGGTGTAGAGAATGGAGTGGAGGAAGACAAGACCGAAGCAGAGCGAACACTTAGGAGATGGCTGTTGCAATTCAGGAGCCATAAGACAATACCCTGAACTTGGGAAGTAGCGGTGGTGATAGACCCTGTGGAGTAGATCAGATAGATTTAGGAGTTAATTTGACAGGACTGGGTGATTTTTTGGCTATGGGTGATGAGGGACAAGAGGCGATTTCTTGCTTAAGCAGGGGGAACTTTTTATCAAAATGAGACTCACGAGGAAGCGGTTTAGGGGTTAGACCACAGATATGAATTTACTTTTGTTCATATTGAACTGGTTGCTAGTTAGCAAACACCAGCATATGAAGAAGGACCAGTAGAGAAGGGAGGAAAGAGACCAAGCAGAAAGAGCCAGTGAGGTGGAAAGAACATGGAAAGTGTGTTGGGTGGTGGAAGTGGAGAGGTGATGTGGGAGTCCAGGACTGTCAGGATTGTGACATTCTTTGGCTCTGCTAGCAAGAAGGTGGTGAGTGACAGACTGCTGGATAGCAGTGAGGCCACAGTGGCCTTGCATGAGGTTGTTGAGACTTGAGTATAATCACATCTTTCAGAGTTAGACTTTGAGGAGGTGGGGAGAGTGCAGAAACTGGGCTGGAGTTTAAGGGAGGTTGGTTTCGTTTTAAATACAAATGTTTTTAAATACAAATGTATCGGAGTTGAGAGGCCTGCAGAAGAGGAAGTAGCAGAATAGTACCACTTATTCAAATAGAAACATTTAATGGTGTAATTATTTGTAAACTGTTGTGTACCTTTTTCTTTGTTTCTGTTTGTTTTTTACAGGGTGAAGTTGTGATATGTCCCTATGATTCGAATCATCACATGCCCAAATCATCTTTATTAAAGCACATGGAGTCCTGTAGATTGAGGAAAATGGGCTATACTAAAGAAGAAGAGGTAACGTATTTACTGTATTACGTGTTTGCCATATAATTCATGCATTAATAAATTCACAATATTTCAAAGGTTCATTGGGAGATTTTCTGATACAAAATAGTAACCCTTATTTGTAGGGTAGGATGTTACCTGCCTAGTTTCACAAACTGTTGTGAAAAATACTTAAAGATACTAATATGTTGGTAGTTTATATCAAATTTTAAAATAGTCAATTAACTGATCCTTAAGAACAATGTTTGTTTTTACTTGTTTAGGATGAAATATATAATCCTGATTTTTTCTATGAGAATGTGAAGGTACCTTCAATTACTTTGAGTAAGTATTAAGCTGTTAGATTGTAATTTAAAAATATTTTAGTGTGGTGTTAATTTTTCATTTTTGAATTATCAAACAAATGGATTTTATAAAACATGCTTGTGATTAGGAAAGATATTTAGTGCCTTAAGAGAGTGTAGGATTGCTGGTGATTTGGCTTGGTGGTTCTGCCGCCTGCCTCACAAGCACAAGGTCCGGAGTTCAATCCCTGGTACCAAAAAAAAAAAAAAAACCACTGTAGAATTATTAAAGTACTGTGAAACAGTTTGTGTAATCTGAAATTTAAAGACCAAGCTTATGTAATAGGCAATGAAAACCCTGCCGAACAGATGCCTTCCTTCTTGGTTATAGCAGAATCTAGGCACAGATGTAGAGTGAGCATGGAAATGTGTTCCAGATATTCGCGATAGGCATGGAGGTTAAAGTCTTGGGTTCTAAAAGCAGAATGCCCTGATTTAGTTACTGGTTTTGTCCCTAACAAATGTGTGGCTTTCAGCAAGGTATTTAACCCTTTTTATTGTCTAGTTTTTTTTTTTTTTTACATTGGGGATCATGATAGATAGTAAGGTCTTATGAAGATTGAATTATGTTTGTAATATGCGTAGAACAGTGCCTGGCACTTAGCTAGACTAGAAGAAATGCTAGGTATTTGTAAAGTTTGTAGCTGTTGCTCCTGCATTCTTGATTATTAGTGTGGTCTTTTGTTTTTTCTTTTAGGGTTTTTTTTTGTTGTTGTTGTACTTGGAATTAAACCCAGGTTCTTTGGCATGCTAGGAGAGCACTCAGCCACCGAGCTAGACCCCAGCCCCGAGTATAGTGTTTTTCTGAAGTGCTTGAAGTCTCATCACTTCTTGGGCTCTAGGTATATGTAAAAGGGTTCTTTATTTATGTTATGTAGGTATTGATGTGGATGTTCCTCTCCTAAGGTTCTGGAAGGTTTGTCAGTGTGTGTGTAGAGAGCTTGGATTGAAAGCTAGTGGACACTGATGATTCATAATATATTTGAGTTTTGGTTTTTTTGTTTTTTTTATTTATTTTTTTACAGATAAGGAGTCACAATTCCAGATCATTAATCAAGCTAGAACCACAGTTGGAAAAGATGGCGATTGTTACAACCAAAGTAAGTGCCATCATAGTTTGAGCTAATTAATGAATTAAATGATTTTTTTTTTTTCTCTCCCAAGGACATGTTACTAAATTTATTCTTCATGAAAAACTGTGAAAAGACTGACATGGGAAAGGATAAGCTTTACATTTAACAATGGGCTAATTTGCTTTTTTCACATTCATTATGTGTTCACTGGTCTCCCTCAGACACTGTTAAATAGTGGTGCACGTTTTGGAATTACCTAGTAGGTAAGATCGCTGATGAGGTCTGAGGGTCCTCTCCCGAGGAAGCAAGCCCCCCGCATAATGTGTTACATCTCGTTTTAGAGGCTCTGTGGATTTCTTTATGCCCGGATTTAGAGCTGGGTTCAAGAGTTTATGCCCTGGACTTCAGCAGATCCTGGGCTAAAAACTTTTAGGAGTTGAAAAAAACTTTATCTGTCAAGACAGAAGTGAACAGTTAACAAAAGAGTTTATTTCCGGACCTTGATTTGACATCCAGCCAGAGCATGGCTGGTTCAAACTCCTACAAGGATTTCTGAGTTGTCTGGAGCCTTTTGTAGGTAGCTTTCTCTGGACGTGTTACCTTCTTATCCTGATGCTCATGAGGCCATAGTCATGGCTGGTTTTCTGCCTTGCTGAAGTTCAGGATCCTCACCAAACATTATTCTAAGCCAGTATCTGGTCTTGCTTTCTCTGAGCTTCGTGCGGCTTCAGAAGGCCACTGTCCTCCTCTTTCCTGGTGTCGGTTACCTTCCTTTCCTCCAGCCGCCAGAAACATTTTGTGGATCTCTTGTTTTGAAGCTCCTGCTTTTGTGCCTGTCACCTTGATTCCAGCTCAACTCTTAGCTGGTTAGACACATGGATGGAGCTTATTTATGTAGATCGTTTAACCCAATGCCTGTGTTTTACAGAGAGGACAGATACCCTGTGTGATTGAGATAAGATGAAGTTCTGCTGTGTTTGTTCTAAAAGTCTTCAGTCCTTTTATTTTTGAAAAGTTTCTTTTTTCAGAGCTCTTTTATGTATTTCATTTCTTTCACCACACACTTGTGGCAGGTCAGAAAGGCATTTTCTCCTTATTCTATGGTGAAGAAACAGGCTCACAAAAAGGAAGCTGGATAATAATAATAATAGTAAAGCTGATTCAGAACCAGATTCTGAATTTTGCACAAATTCTGGACTGAGTTGTTTTAGTTTGGGTTAAAAACCCTCCTACATTTTATGAAATTCATAGACTGGGATTCTACATGTTGCTTATGTGTATTCATTATTTTTAAGCAGAAGAATATTACAAACATCTGTACATCTTCCTATCAGTGTTGCTCATTGTTCATTCATTTTGGAAAGCCTAAAGAAATTAGTTGCTTAGCCTTGTATAAATGATGACTTCTTTGAGTTTTTCTGTCTGTAGTACAGATTTTCTTATAGGATTGTTTAGAGGAACAGAGATGATAAATGCCAAACTAGCCCTAGCTACAATGATTGGTAGCGGCTGTTGTTTAACTGAAAATAAATGTACAGAAAACAATATTAATACAGAAATGTAAGAGTTTTATATATTTGAATAACTTATGAAATGTTCCAGTGTTATACATTTATATAACTGAGTAATAGGCAAATTTGGACATTGAATTTAGTTCATGATAAAGGAAAATAATTACTTTGAATAGTTTTTTTCAGTAGATAGTGAAGAATTTTGCTTTTGGACTCTTAGAGCCCCCTAAATTAAGATAACATTGTTATTACCAGAATAACTATAACCCTTTTTCAAAAACATTTTTTTATCCTGTATACAGTTCTGCAATTTCTCAACAAAGATTATTTTTGTCGTCCACTTATGTCAGATAATTAATAAGAAAGTCGATTCGGGCTTCCTTTTGGGGTGATGAAACACTCCAGGTGGAGGTGAAGGTTGCCCAGCAACGTGAAGGTGCATAGTGCTTCTTTTGTATGCTTAAAAATGACCAAAAGGGTTAGTTTTATATTATTTCTATTTTACCACAATTTTTTAAAAAGCTGCAATCAAGAGGGACACAGAATTATGCCATATGCAGCACATTTATCATGTAGAAACTTGGATTTTGAAAAAATTTACATTTTATCTAAATGTAGCTTATTTAAGTGTATTTATTCTTTTTTTTCTTTTGTCTTAATTATCTTATGTTCTGAAAGATTTGAATGCAGTTTTTTGCTTAACTTTTCCTGTACTTTTTCTTTTTCAGTAATTGGGGTGAGTATAAAGAGGAATTAGGAACCTGAATGTACTCCTTATTTAAAGATATGCAGTATCCTTTTTGCAAATGATATCCTTTTAAAAGTATTACTGAAACTCCTCACCTTCTATCTTACTAGCTGTCACAATATTGTAGTCTTGATTTGAAATTTTGGTTGAATTTTAAGTAGTCTAAACATCATTCTTTACAGTAACACCAACTTAAGATAAAACTCCAACATATCTTGGGGAAATTATATTTCATTGTTTAAAGGTCAACAGATAAAAGTTCATGAAGAGCTTGTTTGTAATATAGCACTGTTTTCTAATCTTTGTGTTTTTCTCCCAGATTTTTATAGCCTGTATTCAAACTAATTAGGCATATCAAAGCTAATTTTATTTTATAAAATTTAATGCTTTGATGCCTGGTTTCACAAAAAGCCCTTTTCTAGTACCTAGCAGCATTAGAATAAAATTGATTAACTTGAAAGGGAACTCTTCCCAACTAATTGAACCTTTTGATGAGTAACAGTGACCATGTGTCATTGTCCACAGCCCCAGCCTTAGATGCAGTGTACTTCTCCTCTTAATCTATGGAGAAATATAAAGTTCTCTCTCTCTCTCTCTCTCTCTCTCTCTCTCTCTCTCTCTC